TTATTAGAATTTTGTTTTATTTTTTTTTTGTTTTTCTTTTTTTAGTCGTTTTTTATTTGTTTTGTTTAAAAATTCCTCTCTTACTTTAAGCCATTAGCTACCCCTAAAAAGAAGAAAAATTAGAAAAGAATAAATATAGTTTTAATACTGTAGCTAAGACTATGCTAGAGCAGTTCTTTAAATACGGGTAGTACTATATGTGGGTTCTGTTAGCAAATACCAGTATGATAACTATGCTTGGACACTTTCTGAGCAGCCAAGTACTACCAAATATATACATTGAATATAAAACTTAAGCCAAGTTTAAGTAATTCAATAAATTTGTACAAGGTTATCAAAGTGAAAAAAAAAAAATAGTTTAAAGTTGATTTAAATACTAGTTTTTAAGTATTTTTTCTTTTTTAGTTTTTTTTTGTTTTCTTTACTTTGCTTACATGTTGGACTAATCTGGAATCATGTTTTTCAATTAGCTAATTTCCCTTTTTGGATTTGTATTACTTGCACAAATAAGTATACATAGAGGAGTAGCTACTTAGTAGCAAAAAAATAGCACTTCTCTTACTAAGCAATAGGGTTTATAAATATAAAGTGATTTGGTATTATGTATATATGAAGTCTTTGCAATAGAAATAGCCGATACTGCCAAAAAATGAAAATCTAGTTTTTGTTATATTCAGATAAATTTTGATACAGGCTATATTTTCAATTATAAATGGAAATTGATTTGCATAATAAAAAATTGAGTTATTTCTTGGGAGTTTCGTACATCACGGGATTATCTGATATAACTGGCCAATCAAATAACGAAATTTTTGATTAACCTGGATTAGTCTGAACAAAACAAACACAATTTTCTCAAAATTGTATATAAAGCAGTTTGGTTCCTTTTTACTGCAAAGACTCTATATGGTTTATAAAATCAAAATAAAAAGTGTCCTTTATTAAATATGTATTTACTATCAAATGCTATAGCAAGCATGCCTACAAAGTAGAGCAAAACTCACCTGTTTATATAATAAAACCTATTCTAATAATTATATATAGCCATTGAGCTATTAGTGTTCTATCCGCTACAACTGTCCCTAATAACCCTTATATCACTAATATCACTAATGCCTCCTCCGTCTCTTGTACAATTAGTACAAGTGGCACATTGGGTACATTCAGTACATTTGGCGCAGCAACCCCGTGATTCATAACCCATGATATAATGAATTTCGAATCAGCAAGGATAACACTGGGACAAAAAATTTTTGGCAGACACGTCCGCGGACATCCCGTTCTGGACTGTCTGGTGTTCTATGACAACACTCAGGGACCCGTAAAATTTTAGTTTCAAAAACTCAAAATTTTTTCTGATAACAATAAAAAATTTAGGCAAATTTTGCTTAAATTTAGTAAATTTTAATCTAAATTTAGTAAATTTTAGATAAATTTTGATTTAAATTTAATAAATTTTAGATAAATTTTGATTAAATTTCGATAAATTTTATAGTTCATTCTTTTAGTTTGTTAAAATACTTAATAATTTAGCATTTAAAATTTGCCAATTGTTATTAAATATGAAATTAGAAGCTAAGTCATATAAATTTATGTCTCTAGATCATGGCATCAATATCCAATACAAACTAATTATATATTATATATCTTAGGCCACACAAAGTTGATTTTTCGTTTTGCATTACCCACCATCTCATTTTTTCAATTTTTTAAAAATTTTTTTTTTTTTTTAGATCCCAATTATGCCAATTGTTCGATTTTTGACATCTATTTTTTCCTGCTATTTCCATTTGGCATCACCCGATGGAGACCTTAATTTTCTGTAATTGTCCAATAGTACTGACAGGAAAAATATGACTACAGGCCCAATTTTTTGATTCCTTGTTATCAAATATTCTATTTGCAGTAAATTGAATTAAAAAAAAAAAAATACAAAAAAAAAAAAAAATCTGTCTGTCTATCCCTAATTTTGAAATCCATGTAATGCAAAACGAAAAATCAACTTTGCGTGGCCTTAGAAGTTAAATAAGTTAAGTTTGTATAAAATTTTTATTAAAAATAAAATATATATTACTAGGAATAAGCAAATCAAATATTTCTTGAATCTACTGCGGCCCACATTATAGTTTACTGCTAATGCAGGCCAGAATTATGAAATTCTGAAATATTTCGAAATTCTGAAATGTTCCACCTGCACAGTATCCCATTCCTATGTATCACAACCTATAATATAATAAGGAAATTTTTAGAAAATTTTAGTTAAAATTGATAGATTTTTTGTGAAAATTTTAGATCTAAAATTTTACGGGTCCCTGACAACACTGCCCCTGGTGACGTAGCCGGGGCAAGTTAGCAATAGTCTATAATATTAGATTTTTAACCCGTTTTTTAAATTGTACTACTAGTACAAAAAGTGAAAACATATTCATTAATTTATAAATCTATAAAAAAACTTAAATTATAATATTTTTTAATAAAATCCTCATAATAATTAGAATTTTATTTTTTTTTAAAGAAAAATATTTGCGGCCGGGCCCCTAAATTCTACATAGAACAACTAAAAAATTTTCTGATGATCGAATCGGTAAGTTACCAAGTCGGAAACCGATTTAGGCCGAATTCAAATTAGGCCGGGCCGGGCCGGCAAAAATTTATAAAAATAGGCTATTTGCATCTATATAGCGATATATAGTATTTAAGCGTATAAAAGCACTTTAGAGAGCAAATATTATTTCACCATGTGATAACCCTAATTCTGGCTTGATTTACAGCTGTTTCGAAAAGATGTCCATATACCCATGTGGGGAATCGAAATTCTGCTTAGTAAAAATTAAAAATCCGATTAGAGCGGGTCTTAAAAACTCTGGAAATCTGGGAAATATCCATGGTATAGTGATCTGCATCTTCCACAAATTTTTGAAAACGGCTGTGAAAATAAATTACCATGATGGAAATAAAAAGTTCCTTAACTAAGTATACAGTATTATCTACAGTAAAAAAAATATTAAAAATAATCGCTCCTATGTTTAGACTAGATGACTATTAATTAACCAATATATTTGCTTTTCGGGTACTGATGTTAACGTTAATGCTGTAATAATTTAATGCCTGTCTTTCTGTTTCTAAACGTGCAGTTATTTATACTGTATATCACCATATCAGTTACGCAGTAGTTATTAAAATACGTGTTACAAAATTACTATAGTTCCAAATTGTAAAGGCCCAATGTAGGTATATACTGTATCTATAAATATATATACATATATTATATAAGTAATATATGTCAAATTGGCCTTTGAAATATCTGACATTCCTACGATTCTTGAAAATATACATTTTAATATACTGTATATACTGTATATAATATCTATATATTTTCTAATGATAAGCTGAATAAACTGAGCCAATTTATTATCTGTGTATCATATCAATTTCTCCGCTTTCATCATTAAATAGTTGGTAGTGTTATTATTATGCCATTGATTGGATAGAACTATACTGACTATGAAGAAGGCAACAAACTTTAGAGAATCCTAAAAGTTTAAAAGTATTGGGACCGAGCCCGAATATTTGTGGAGTGCAGGCTTTAATCTCTTATTTTGGATGTAGGACCGTTGTGGTACAATCGTGGGATGTATCGGTATATAAGACCGTGAAAAGAAAGTATGTCAGCTGATATCGAAGTGATCAGTAACACCATATTTTGTTCTTCGTCTCATTTTTGGGAATCGCAAAAAAGCACACTTTTATCTCCAATTATATGGACTACCCGGGAAATATTTCTTCACGATCAGGCTCCAGTGCGTCACCTTCTATAAGTAATCTTGGGAGCGCAAGTGCCTCATCAGGCATTGGCTTTCCAGGGCCGAGCCCTGGTGGGCTCAATAATTCAATGTTTGCCATAAATTTAAATGGAGGAGGAGGACCATCTAATATGGTATTTTACACATCTTAATCTCTGGTAATTTATGTGTTTTACTACTACTTATAACTGTTGATTTTTGGCTCTTTCTTACTTTATAGATGTCTGGAAGATGTATGTGCTGCAATAGGTAAATTTTCAACTTATCATATGCTGCTTCTTAAATTAGTAATTCAATTTTAACATTTAGAATTCTTTTTTTTCAGCAATTTGCGCTTTCCCAGATCAGTCTCTTGTTTTCGTTGTACTGTTTGCGAGACGATCAATGACTTGACATCCACACCGCACAGTATGTAGTCTATAAATTAGGCTAAAAATTAATTTGC